CCCAGGTGAGGAAGTGCCCGCCTGTGGTGGCCATGGACACCTCCAGACCCCAGCCCTTCGTGGGGCCCCGTGCCACCGGGGCTGAGGAAGGCATGCAGAGCGCCTTGCCTGCCTTGTACAGGAACCAGAGCTCCAGCAAGCCGCAACACATCCAGGCACACGGCTACACCAAGCACCTTGGCCTGCCGCCAGCCCCTGCCACCAGCCGACTCCAGCTCGTGTCAGCAGTCAACCTGTCCGCAGCCAAAGACTCTAGGGCAGTGGTGACGTGCATTGTCATTGTGCTTTCTGTCTTGGTGTGCTGCCTGCCCATGGGCATCTCTTTGGTGCAGGACATGCTGTCCAGCAGCGGGAGCTTTGTGCTCTACCAGTTTGAGCTGTGTGGATTTACCCTCATTTTTTTCAAATCTGGATTAAATCCTTTTATATATTCCCGCAACAGCGCTGGACTTCGGAGACGAGTCCTCTGGTGCCTGCAGTACCTAGCCCTTGTCTTTTTCTGCTGCAAGCAGAAAACAAGGCTTCAAGCCATGGGCAAAGGCAGCCTGGAAGTCAATAGGAATAAGTCATCCCACCATGAGACCAATTCAGCGTACATGTTGTCTCCAAAACCCCAGAAAAAGCTTGTGGATCAAGCCTGTGGTCCCAGTCATTCCAAGGAAAGCGTGCTGAGTCCCAAGGCATCTTTTGGGCATCAGCACTATGCACAGAGCAGCTCAACCCCCATGAACACCCGAATCGAGCCCTATTACAGTATCTATAACAGCAGCCCTTCCCAGGAAGTGAGCACCCCAAATAGCTTACAGCCAGTGAACTCAACTTTTGGATTTACCAAATCCTATGTTGCCATGCATTATCACACCACCAATGATTTGGTGCGAGACTATGACAGTGCTTCGACCAAGCAGATACCGGTACCCTCGGTGTAACCTTGAGAAAGCAGTTCTGGTTCTGATCTAGCTGGTTTAGTGGGTCCCCATCTTTGCTTTTGTTAATGATAATTCTAAACACAGTGATACTGCTGCCAATTAAAAAAAAAAAAATAAAAGGCAACAACAACACTAGTGTTAATATCTAGCTATTTGCATTCAAAGTGAATGCTAGGGTATTACTTCTGTGTTGTTTTCTTGAATTTCTGTGGCAAGTCAGAGGGGGCAGTATTTTAGACTTGTATTTGGAATCATTACACCAGAATGTTTTTGTTACAAAATTTTACCAGTGGACCCGTTAAAAAGATGTTAGTGCTATAACTACGTGATTTGCTACGTTATGAGGTAAAATATCTCAGAGTACAGTCTGAGGCTGTGGCAGAAGCATTATCTGTTAAATTGCATACTTGCCATATTTTCAAACAGGAAGAACTGGGAGGATGCTTGGTATTTTAATGCTTAGGTTTAAACTTGCATTTGCAGAAGGCTGGAAGAATTGGTGGTATTTAGCTGTAGCAAGTGTCAGTAATAACAAAATTTCCATGAATTTCAGGTGAAGTTTAGGATTTCAGCCTTTCGGCTTTCCAAAGCAGGACGAGGCATTTTACAAATGTATGCTGCCACTGGGTGGGAGGGAATTTTGAGAAGTGTCATGGTGCCATAATGAACCTCTGAAGTGTGTGTGTATATATATGTTAATTTCTGCTGTACATTTATTTTAAGGATTGGTGCCATTATATATCCCAAATTAATATATTTGGATAAGTATTTTTCACTTTCTAGAAATAACCGTCCGATACCGATTACATGTTTTATTGAGGATAAATACAAGCATTGCAATATTATAATACTGACAGCTATTAATAATGCACTTACCTTTGGAGTATTCTAATTCATAAACTTACACGAAGAGTAGTGTTGCTGGTTGTGTTTTCGTTTGACTACTTAAAAGCAGGAAATGGAGAGATGCAGCTGTGATACTCATGACAGGTAAAACTGACAACTGTTAACATTTGTTGAAACATTATGACCGAGTAACAAGACGACTACAAGTTTTTGAGATTTTCTTGGGAAGTCTACCATCAGTTTGATTTAAAAACTAATAATGTGTCTACTCATACACTTTATCTAGTGGTTGACACAGTGAGCAAATAACAGAAGTTAAATATTTTTTCTAAATTCAACCACTTGTGTTTTGTAATGTGTTGTGGAAATTCCATATGAAACAGAATGATCTGGAGGCATTTAAATTCTTGACAATTACTGCTTGAGGTGGCCAGATCTTTTCAAAGCAAGCAATCACCCTTCAGCTTCTATTGACTTCAGCAAAGCCTTAGTATCTCCAGAATAATTGTGCCACAGACTTTTGGTGCCTCGTGATAGGAAAATGCCACATCTTTAACAAAGTGATAGTGATGGAAAGATGACTTGTTACTTTAGAAACATTTGCATCATTGCCGTGTGTAAGTTGTTGGTTTAGGCTATTTGTTGACTAAACAATTTTCAAGATTTTCCTGGAAGACTATTACATTATGAACACTGTTCTTTAACACTCTGAATTTTAATTAATTTTGAATAATTCAAGACAGCTTTATTGCAATAAAATGTTCTGAACAACTTTCTAATACAAATGTAAAATTGGAGTTATTTCAATAAGTCTTTTTCTCTCTGCCCAGATATTTTTCTCTATAAACTAATAACATGGTTCTTACTGAAGCAATTACAAAAGATAACTAAAAGATCTGTCTTGCTTTGTTTTGTTTTCCTTTTTGTCTTTGCATTTGTCTTCAGCACAGAACGTCGTAATCTGGGGGAAGAAATATGTGGGATCTGTTTCCTTAACAGAAATTATATTTTCAGATTGGAAAGAGTATAGGGCAGGGCCCCAGAAGCGGTTGCGAGGTGGGGTCCTGTACGTACCTTGTGGGAGTTAAAGATGTGTGTTAGGACTGGTTTTGACATATTAAATAGTTTTTGAGTTTGCAGCATGTGTGCCCAATTCCATACCGTTCATTTGTTTTAGATCACATGAACTTCATCACATGATAGAAAATTAAATCCTCCTTACCTTATTCACAAAAGTAATTTGTGTGAGTACTCGTATGGGAATGAAGGGAAGAAGGTGCACCTTGAGGACAGAAGGAGGTTTTACTGCTTTTATGTGATGTGTAATTAAGACCAATGAAATGAAGCTCCTCAAAAACACTTTGCAATATTGTTCTTCTGTTTAGCCCCTGGTGCCAGTTGTGCCCTTTAAACAACCAACATGTTAATGAGTTTATAGTGTCAGATAGGAAAGTGTAACAACTTCAATCTGTGGTAGGAACAATATCCGATTAATTTTGCAATTCTCTTTAGTAACTTCTGGGGGAGTAAAAAGGAGTGATTTGATTTTGAAAATAGGTAGCCATGACTTTTTAGAAGTATAATCTAAACCCAAGCAATCATTTATATGATAAAAAATGCTTGCTTTAGACTCTTCTGTGGTGTATCTTTTCTTTTTTTTTTTCCCTTTATTCCCTTTGTAGTATTAATACCATCTTCTGCTGAGCACAGAACCAGTATAGCGTAAAACATGACTGAGAAGTGTGAAGTTAAAATATACAAAGGCAATTAATTGGAAGCAACATAGTGCTGGAAAAAGATGGAAAGTGTATGGGAAGACAGACTGAGAAGAGAGGAAATGTGTAAGAGAGTAAGTAATGTAAGTATCTGAATACTGAACAGTTTAGAAAAAGTAGGTCTTAGTTATGGCGGTCCATGTATGAGCAAGAAAGTATCTTGGGAATATGAAAGTAGAAAATTCTAAGACTGGTAATGCACTGCACTTTTCTTGCTGCCTGTATGTATGCTATGAACCTGCTTGCTGCAGAACTATTAAGAAAAAAGTAGGAAGATTTAACAGGAACTTCATGTGGGTAGTATGACTATCCAAGAACCTGATAGTTAATGCCAACACAGTTTAGAGTGGATATGAAATGTTTACTCCACAAATTAAAGCATTCTTCATTTGTGGGGTTAAGGTGAAGCCATTGTGGTGGAATAGGTTTTCCAATGTACATTTTCAGTGTATTTTTCAGCATCTTCTGAAGTCACTGGTGTTGGCCACTGTCACACAGGTTGTACTAGACCAGGTAAAGATAAGTTATTTGGATTTGCTCATCTTATGAATGAATCCAGGTTGTGGTACACTAAATGATTTGTTCTCATCTGATACTTATTTGCTGTCGTGGTTTGTTGATTTCACCTCAATGTAGGAGTAAGATCAGCTGATTTATTTTTTTCCCCAAATAAAAATTAAGTAGCAGTCGGTGATGATAGCGACTATGCAGAGTCGGTGCTGATTCCATTTGAAATGGATTAGGCTGGTTGTGTCAAGTGAAACTTTCTTAAATCTAAATATTATACAGACTTTTTTGCTTATTGTTCAGAGGTTTGCAATAACACTTTAAATAAAGCACACACCAGTTATTTAACAGTAGAGACTGACACACTTGGCTAGCTCTTTCTTGACTATCTGGTTGTATGTGTTCATCTGCAAATATAAAGGATTTATGTCTGTCTTCTACCATGTAACCAAATGCTACAGCACTGTGGATTTGTGTCTTTTGGATGGCTACATTAAGTAAGTCTTTAATCTTTTCTTGCTAAACCACAGAAGGAAAGTTTTACCTGTCTACTACTGTAGTTTGTCTTTCTTGTACGTAGACTTAGTGCGCTCTATATCTGAAGCTGTACTAGAACAGCGTCTGAACTACGTCCTTGTCTTTGAATGTCACCACTTTTTATTATTTCTGCAATAATCTCCAAAAGATATTTAGGATATGTGCTGTGACTCAAGCTGTTCTTCCTTTCAGGTGACATCCACAACATTTTAAGAAATGCTAGAAATAGCTGAATAAAATCAAACAAGCAGAAATGAAAGGCTCTTCATCAGTGCTGGGATCTCAGCCCTTTGGATAATGGATTATTTTTTTCAGGCTGAATAATGTGCACCCTACAAAACTGTTAGTAACCTCCCATGGGATTGATCTGAGACATACCCCAGTTGCAATACAGCAGGCTTTGCAAAAGGTAATCACAGAAACACTTTTATTTGACTGCAGGCTTTCCAGGCACAATCTTTACAAGTTCTTTTATCTCATTCCATCTCATACATATCTTGAGTGGGTCCGTTTTCTGCTCTCACAATAAATGGTTCATTTGTTGTTTTTAGGACAGCTGCTAGCTGATGCCAGAATATTTTCTGTTTGTGTTCTTCAGGGCTCCATTTTAAGTAGGTTTTTCTTTTCAATAGTTTTCTGAGTTTGCTGAACTTCTGTGGAATACTGTTGGGTGGGAGGTCTTCCAGCACGATCATAATGAGGGAATCCTGATTTTCATTCAGGACCTGGTGTTCAGCAAAATACAGTTCATACTGACACCAGCAGCTGTTTACAAAACTGGGAGAGAGAACAAAAAGGACTTTATGGCTGTTCTCTATGCAGTTAAAAATGTTGCCAAGGACAGGATGTCCTGGTTTGAAATCTCTCTCGTGATAACATATTTTGAATCCGTCAGTTTCCAGTCTTACCAGGAGATTCTCTTTCATCCAATTTGCATCATGTTCACTGTATGAAATGAAGGCGTCAAAGGGCTTGTTTTCTGGCCTCTTCTTGTACTGCTTCCTCTTTGCCATACACCAGTACCAACCCATTTTCACATACCACAGCCCATCAAAACGCCAACATAAGCCTGTCAACACCAAAACAACCAGAACGGCAACACAAGCTGTGATGGCCATCTGAATGCCCAAGGAGCAGTGCAGAAGTGTGAGATTACTGCCCTCCACCAGCGAGCCCCGTCTGTCTGGTGGAAAGCTGCACCTGAGATTTTCTTTGCCATTTATCTGCAAGTGTGGGGTATGGACGTAGACATTTACAAACCAGTACAAGTCACAGTTACAAAAAAAATGTTTACCTTGAACAGTCAAAATGCTCAAACTTGTTAACTGTCCAAAAGTGTCCTCCGCTATGGTTGTGATGGCGTTGTCGCTAATGTCCAACTCCATCAGAGAAACTGGGAGAGAGCCACGCTGTAGGAAAGAGATCTTATTCCCCGATAAATTAAAATATTTCAACATTGGAAGAGATTTCCCAAAGTGATCAGGGAGTTCTGAAATTAGATTGTGACTACCATCCAGATTAGTGAGCAAACGAAGTTGGCTGGTGGGTTCCAGTCTGGTTATTAGGTTTCTAGAGACATTAAGGAATTCAAGTTTCCCTATGGTTTTGGTTAATGACAATACACTCAACTTATTTTTACTAATATCACATTTTGTTAAAGTCAACGGGAAGTATTCGGGATGCATATCTGTAACCTTATTATTTTGAATATTAAATACTGTTAAGTTGGGGAGAGATTTAAAACTAGGGGGTATTATTTTAATATCGCTGTTACTTATGTCAAGGTGCTGCAGGGAGATAGGTAAGTCAGGAAGCATGGAAATACGATTGCTGCTGAGATCCAAAAAGAGTAATTCTTGCATTCTGTTGGCAAACCATTCTGGAAGTTCTACAATGGAGCAGTTGGAGATTTTCAGGTGTTTTACTTTTTCTGGAAGGCTTTCGATGGGTGTACCTGCCTGGTTTCTGACAAGTGAAATTGCACTAATATGTACAGTACCAGGGGCAAACTTTGGAGCTGTATTGTTGGGTTTTGGATGTACAGTGTATATGAAGTGATTTCCTTGAACATACATATTTTCTAAGTTAAATAGCTTTTTAGCAAAATTTTGAGGTATCACACTTATATTTGTGAAGGACAAATCGATTACTGTGATGGTTGGAGGGAGGCATATCGTTTCCAAGTTGTTTAGGGGATTGTTGCTAATATTTACAAAAGAAAGATTGCTGAACGGGAAGCGACAGATTGCTTCCACATCTATATTGTTAATTGTTATGTTGTTGTAACTGACATCAATAGACTGTACATTTTTCATCGGCAAAAACAGGATGAATAGTGATAGAAGATCCATTTCCAGGTCATTGTGACTAATGTCAAGCTCCAAAACACCATCCAGCTGAGCTTGGCAGAGGTCTGGGTCTAGTTTTTCCGTCAGCTCTTCCTCAGACAGTTTGCTCTTCGACAGATCGAGAGTCCCGTTTATTGGTAGTCCACAGCGATTAGGCCTCAGTGTGGCTGTTGGAGAGACCATTGTATTTTCCTCTGCTCTTCGAAGATGCCTTGTACTTCGTCTGAGCCTCAGATTAATCTTTTGCAGGTCAGGTGGACTTCCTGAATGTGGCAGCTCTTCAGCTGATGCAGGAGGCTCCAGAGCAGCCTCTGTTGATTTGTCAGAGGCTCTGCTAGTTGCTAAGAGTTTCAGGTGAGGTGCAAGACCAGATACAAGAAGTTTCTTGTCATTAAAAGATAAATTCACAGAAACAAGGCTGAGCAGAATCTCAAATGTGCCAGGTTCAATGTCCTTAATCTGATTGTAGGAAAGGTCTAAAACTTCCAGTGCATCAAAGCCTTCAAAGTCTCTCTTGGTTATTTTTTCAATTATGTTGTGTGAGAAGTTGAGAGCTCTCGCCATTTTGGGAGCTTGTGCTTCTGATACAGAAGAGAGGTTTAAGTACGAGTAGTTATAAAATGGGAAGGCAGACTCAGTAGTTCTCCAAGTTAGGAAGCCATTTGCTCTGCTGAGTAAGAAGGAAGTGAAGTAGAAATGAAGACTTCTGATAAGGATCCCCATCCTAGAGAAAAGAAATTTTAAATCCATCATTTTAGTATGTTCTACCTTGCATAACTGAGTATGCTTTAAATAAGTAATAAGTAAATAACTTACTAAAAAGTACAGAAATTGTTTCAATAGTTGTATCTATGAATGCCTTGTTATCTACACATACACACAAAAAAAAAGAAAGTATCTTGCTTCGTTGTTACTTTCAAGAGGCAATACTAAAGGACAGTATCAGAGAACAATTTGAAGGAGCATGCTATTCATTTCAGTTCACTGTAATGACTGAGCATTTTCTGTTTTTCTAATCCCTTCCCCCTTCCCTAGGTAGGTAGTAAGCAGCCTTTATAAAACATCTCACGACTAACTGAGAAGAAGGAAGGAGAGGGAAGCCGCAGACCTTCCAGCCTGTCCTCAGCCCTCAGCCAGCAGCAGCCCGCCCAGAGCACCCTGCAGCCCTACCTTGTGCCTCTGCCGCCGTGCTGGTAAGCAGTCCTGGGGCGTTCAACGCCTTCCAGCTTCTAAGGATGAAAGACAGTTGATGGCTACCTCATGCTTCCAGTGCCTTTCCCTGCTACCAGCCTCTGGAGCTATGCTTTTGTAGTGCCGGCAGCAGGGCGGGTCAGGCTGTGGGGGAGGCTGTCTGCTCCCTGTGCCCAGACTGCAGTGTTTCCCCTCCCACTGTGAGAAATCTTCCTGTTGGGGAGAGCCTGTTGCTGAGGGGAAAACAAGGTGTAGAAATAGCTTGTTTTAAGGCTTAGAGTCTGCTGTGGGCAGTGCTATCTCAAGGCAACCACTGGGCTTTTGGCTGCTTGCTGCAAAGTTACAGAAAAGATAGGGATGAGAACCATCACTGACTGTGAGGATGTTCTGTAGCAGGTGTCCTACTGCATTTTTTCAGCTTTCATGTGTGTGGGGGAGAAAAAGTCTCATTAGACTTAGAATTGAAAATACAAGAGTTGGTCCCACTGCTGATGGGCAACTGGAAGCTTCACTCCTGCTTGAGCAGCACAGGAAGGGGCTGAAAGCACCTGAGCACAGTGACAAAACTGATCTGCTCCTCTAACGTGACTTGTTGTTTCCTGGCTGGTGAGATCTTCTGGGCTCCTTTAAGTGCAGGACCACTTTCAGCATGTGAGACCTTACGTTCACAAACAGAGCAATTGTATGTCTTGTGCACTTTAGCTAGGGAAAAACAGTAGGAGATTTTCTTCGTGTTTGTAGTGCTACCCGGAAAGGTGTGCACTTCGCTTCAGTTCAGGATGTCGGCAGATGGGGAGTCAACAGAGATTGCACAAGATGTTGAGCACTGTCATCTGCTCTGCTTTTTCTGCTATTTATTTATTTTTTTAATTGTTTTTCCACTGTTTTGTAACTGCCAGTGGCTGGAAATTCTTACAGTAGCCCAGGGGCTCTCATGTCCAGTCCCGAGGGGCTGGAAAGCCCCATGGTTGTTTGTCTTCCCTTTCTAGTCAGACTTGGCACTTTTCTGCCCCATCAGGTTCTGGAAGTGCCCTGAAGTCATGCCTTCTTCAGACAGATCCTAGCTTGTTTTAGCAGAAAAGACAGGAAATTAAGAGCATTTCGGACATGTCAGGATACATTCTTGAGGTGACTCCCTGTAGCTATTTCTCCCCAACGAGTCTTTCTTCTTTTATCTAAATACAGCCATGCTCTTCTTGGAACTCAGTCCATAGTTCCATCTTTGAGAAAGCAGACGAGCTATAGTTCTAGCACAGGGCTGTCCAAACTGCTTCAGCTGGTCAAGAAAGTAAATCACAGTTGGAAATAATGAACTTTTAAAAATTATTTGAATATTTTTTGGTGCAAGGATAATTATTCTACCAACATGTCGTGTGGGCATTATTCTAACATTTGTTTCACCCGGCATTCTTTTTTTTTTTCTTTTAAATCTTTAAGACAATCTTATTCTAAGGATTGTGGAGGAACAGCAGCACACAAGAAAGCCTTTTGTGAGTGAGTAGGAAAAATACAAACACCATGGTTGAGAGCAGAACCAAGACAGATTTAGGGAATCCAGTTGTTGATGTTAATGTTATAAGGTTAACATTAAAATATTTGTGAGCATAGGCACATGGATGGCAGATTAGATGAGACTGTACAGGACCTGCTCAAATCCAGAAAGAATGAGCATCAGCCTTCAGGAGTCCAGCCCTCAAAGGAGCTTCTTTTATTAAGGTGGGCTTAGAATTGGATGCTGGATAAAAACTGGTAAGTCATATCTGTATAGCTGTACAAATAGGATATTTATCACCTGGAAATGTACTTCTCTGCCTCTCTGCAGGAATAATACCATTCATTTCTTTACCATTTGAGAAAATTGTTTCCAAGCCTGATTGCGTTATTTTGTCCCTTCAGCTAGACAAAACTTTTCAGGGACAGTCTCGCCTTGCACACTGTGCCACTGACTCCTTTGAGCTAAATCTACCAGCTGTGCAGATGTCTTACATAAGTATTCTCTGCTTCTTCATTTAGTCCTGCAGGTAGTTAATAATTTTCGAGTTTAAATGACTATTAAAAATTAGCTTTAAAATGAATCCCTATTGTCTTAAGTCTAATGGCCACTATATTTAATCAGTATCTTTGAGTGGAGATGTAATTAAAGACATAGCAATAATCATATGACTTTTTTTTTCCTACAGAAAATTCTAAGTTCATTTCCTAATCGTCAATTATCAGGCCTTAGCAAGAAGTGAGCAGTGCTATTCTACACTGGTTTGGGTTGTGTACGAGGAATCCACCAGTTACTGAGTGACAAGTGAGTTTTAAGAATTTCTGTACTGATAAGGTGGGACAGGGGATGTCGGTAGGTGCTTGTTGCTGATGCTCATTCTTTCTGTGTGGATGAATCCTGTATTCTGGGGCTTAAAATAGTTCATTCTTTGAACTGTTCTCATTGAAATAAATATCTTAGACAAGCGGCGTGTTTCGCTTTCACAAATCTACTTTCCGTTCATGTAATTTCCTTTGACTAACTGCAGATTATATCGGTACCATTACTGCAAATTTGCTGTCTGCCTTTCACATTATTTTCTACATTGCTGATTCTTGAATGAGCATGGAAACAAATGCCTCTCAGGCTGAGATGCAAATCTGCATCATACCTTGGGTATAAATCTAAGCAGATTGGCACAGAAACCTGCAGAGCTCCAATTCTGCTTTGTACTTTCTGCACACCCAAGCGAGCTTATTTTTCCCCATGTTTGCTACGGAGAGGTTCCCACGTTCCAGGGCCTGCCTGGGAGAGGGTCATAGAAGGAAGTTACATGTATTCTCAGTTGCACGTTTCTTCCAGGTTCAAATGTATTAAAACACAAACTAATGCTGGAATGAATTATTTCTAGCAGTATCAAGTCATGGTCTCTTCTGCCTTTTGTGTTTTTGTGCACGTCTTTCCTCCTCCCCTTCTCATCTTGGTTCTTCTTGCCTGTATCAGCTGTTGGTAGGGCAGATATGGGAGAGGGTCAAAAAGAAAAGTTCTTTATATTTGTGGATTTAAGTCCCCCTGTTCTCCCTGAAAAAAGTCTTACGCTGTCTGCTGGACTGTCCATAACTTGTGTCATGTATTGCAGCATGTAGTAGTTCCTTTCAGTAAAGACAGGGGAAAAAAGTTCTCATGACTTGGAAAGTTCTCATGGCTCATGATCTCTTTCTTTGGTTTCTGTGAGCACAGAAGAAGTGAGGAGTGGAGCAGTGCTACAGCTGGGCCTGGAGCAGACTGGTGAGACCCTCTGCTGACCTTTCTTGGCAAGGGTAAGTGACTGACTGACAGTCCAGAACGAAAACAGTTAAACTTAGTAACGAGCATAACATATGCCATCCAGTTCCTCTTCATGGCACAGGATTGCACTGTTCCATTGAAATTGGGTGCCTCGAACTGAAACACATGTTCTGAAAGGCACCATGCCTGGTTCTCAGAGCCAAAACTAAGCAGGGGTCAAAGTTTACCAGTGACCAAAAAGTCTCCCAGCCTCAATGCACAATAAATACATGGCTGGAGAGCCCGTCAGCGGTAGTCCTGTGGTGCCTGGACCTGATGGGCTGCCTGGCAAAGGAGATGTCTTGACAGAAGAATGGGAGGCTGGGGCGTGGTGTGGATTTGGCTGTTAGTTCTTTTGGGGGATAAAATACCTAACCAACCTGAGCTTTTACAATTGCTTAATGCTTTACTTTTCATCTTTGTTATCCAATCATGCACTTTGCTGACAAAGCTAGTCTTTTATTTCTACAATAAATCATCGTAAATTTGGTATTGCCTCATGTACCATTTCGTTGTTCGGTATCCAAAGAAGCCTTTGTCATGTAGCATAGACCACTAAGGACAGAGACAGAGGCTTGGATTTCATCATTTTTGTGCCTGTGGGTATGTTGGACACAGGGTAGGTACACTTTTGAGCGCATTGGTTCCTGTGCATGGGGAAGCAGAGGCTGAGGAATATGGAGAACTGGGTGCGTGCTTTAGGTGATGGTGTGATTTGCGCCTAGAGCAGCAGACTTCTTATTGGCTTTAGTGCTATGCTGAGGTGCTGCAGCTACTTCATCAAAGAGGTTGCACTTCCCCATTGTGCTGGGGACTTCTTTGCCATGTGGGGAATCAGAATTCTTTACATTCTGCAGAGTACCTATCTTTACCTTTTCTTCTAGTTTATCCCAGAACAAATGGATGTGCTGGAAGGTTTAGTGTCTTGTGGTTTCTCTTCCCGTAATGTGACCTAGCCCGATACATGCTGATAAAGTTTGACACCATCCCCACAAATGCTGCCTGTATGTATTCTGCAATGAGACACAACCACCACATACAGCCTGGGGCTTGAGCACTCAGAGCTTAAGAGCATGGCACTGTGTTAAGATGTGTCTGTACTAGCTTTCCTAAGACAAGCTAAGTAGATATGGGGCAATTTCAACCTCAAAACAGACTTGTGCAAGCCATTATTACAAACACTTCTGCCTATGTTGCAGCCTTATTAAGATTCAACCAGCCCCTTGTAAAGACAGATTAGGGAATTTAGGGCTAAATGTTTTTGTTTGTTCGTTTGCTTTTTGACTCTGTGTTGACTTGGGGATGCATCTTTGCTGCTGCATACCTGAGGAAGTGTTACCCATGGCAGTCCAGAAATGGAGCTAATGCTGCTAAGGGGTAACACCTGCAGAAGGAAGAGCTGCTAATCTGAAGATGGATAGGTGGGGAGCCTTTCCTAAAGTCGGTGTTTCTGTAGCTGCACCTACTACCCCAGCAGTTTAAAGATAGTTTGGTTGTAGCTACTCAAGCTGCAGTTACACCCGCAGCATCCATGCAGATAGAGTGAGGGAAGGTGCTGCAGGAGCCTGCAGATCTTTCCTAGCTGTGCTTTCTGAGGAACCATGTTCTTGACCAAGGCTTACTGCTCACTGGCAGATACAAGCAACTTGTTGCAGGGTGTGGTGAAAGCTTTTGGTGCAGCTTTGTAACATCCATTGCTACCTGCTTAATGAGATGTGCCCAGATGACTTATTAAGGCAAGTAAAATACTTAAAGGAAACTAAGTTAAATATCTAAAGTTAGAACACTTCCTTATGGCTTCTCTTTTCTAAAAGCTAATAGCTTGGATCAAGATTGAAATTTAAGGAAGATTTTCCTCACTTATTTAATGGTTCCCAAGATTAGGGAAAAATAATGATAAAAAAATCTGGGTGGAAGAATCTCTTCCATCACAGTAACAAGCCCTGAGAAATAAGAATATGATCAGGAAGAAAGACTTTGAATTTAAATGCCATATCATCCTGATGATGCTTTGTTCTGTTCTACTACGTAAGAGAGATTAAAATTAGTTTTTATATTGCAACAGTCTAGCAGCTTTACTTGATATTCTGGGTAGTTCTGAACTAGTCATATGCCAAATGGTTGGTGGATTTCCGTTTGACATCAGTCATAAAACTCCTGCACCTTGCACAACAACTCTAGAAAAGAGGAAACCTATAGCTGGCTTACAAACAAGTAATACTGATCAAAACACTGAAAATGCACAATTGCACTTTCAGTGTTTTCAATACACTGAAATATTGCCCAGCTTTTGCCCATTCTAGCACATGCATCATCACAGACCTTGCAAAATGCTCCCGAGCTCATTATGGTGGAACTTAACTCAAGAGAAAGTATTTGAAAGCATTGAGTTAGATCTTGCCCATTTGCAAACTGATCTTGCTCATCAGCACAGCACCTACACTGGCAGTTTTAATGCAGGACAGGTGATCACAGACCAACCCTCTTCATACTAAAGATACATACATACAAAAGTCATCTTGTGTGTTTAGTATGAAGAGGGTTGGTCTGTGATCACACAAAACAAATGACTGAAGTACCACCTAGTAAAAGCACTAAAGGAACTTTCTGCCAGCCCTAGTGTTCTCCCTAGGAAGGAACTCCTTGAAAGCATGTTGGCTCCAAATGTGTGATTCTCATTTTTTTCTTACCTATTTAAAAACAACTGGTTTAGAAGTATAATGGAAATCTTCAGATACTGCTGAGTAATATTTCAATTATCTGGTCCTCACACTTACAGGAGTATATATTGCCTGCAGACTAAAACTTCATGCAACTGTATCAAAAATCTTACTTGCAAGGTAGACATGTTACCAGGAAATGGCCCTCCATGCCACTGTTTGCCATTATGAGGGCAAGTGGATGTACTGAGTTGTCACCAAAAAAAAACATTAACTCGGACCCGCATGAAACACAGCTGAATACAGGTAAGTGGGAGGCGGGGTTCCTAGCTAGTATTGACAACTCTGCCCCACAAGAAAGATGTTGATTTTTTATCACTAGTATTAAACTTTAGCTTCCTCAAGCAAAACAGCAATTCTGACTCACGTCAGGAGGAACGTTCAGCAAAATAAATATATTGCAATGAACATTACGGAGTTAGTACCTATTTAAAAACAAAACAAAAAACACAAGACAGGTCTTTGGAGAGCAGCCCAGGCTGAGAGAAGAAGTAACAGCTGAATGGGTACAAGATAAGTTAAGAAAAGACTGTGATATTAATACAGTTCCAAGCAGTCAAACTGAGGCAATATTTGTGTTTGGACAAATTAAGTAATTGCATTAGAACAATTACTTTTGTTCTAGTGGCTGCTGAAGGCTCCTGAGCAAGAAGTATTGCTTTCCCTTTTCCCTTCTGTTGGCAGTTGAGTTGCGCACATGAAGCTGGACCTTGTCTGTTTTGCCTTTTTTAAGTCGATAATTTTTACCTCGATGATCGTTGCAGAATACCTCATACACAAGTCATACAGGAAGTGCAAGACAAAATTTTAATCGTTAAAAGTTTATCGATAACCTCTTATATACACATAGTTATACACAAAGTGGTTCATGAGTCCCTCATCTTAGAGAATTCTGCTGGTGAGGTTGGTTGGCTGAAAACTTCTCTCTGTCTTGGTCATCTCACGGATATGATGTTAATGTGGAAAAAGCCAGTTGGGTTGTTGATGGGTATGGCTTCCTTCATGGACTTATATTGTTCTTTAGCTGGGCACTGAAAGGAGCCCGTGTTCATCAGCTGTATCCAAAATTTTACAGATGACTGGAGACTCCACCTTGAACATAGAGATCAAAATATTAACAACTACAAAATCATTAATAAACTCTTACAGGAAACTGCAACGGAGATCACAAGATTAATTACAACAGCATGCAAGAGGCTTGAGCATCACTTTGTAAAACTCGGTATATGCTTTTTACTTTTGTGTATGATATCTGTAGTATATTAACAATGTAATTACTACTACTAAATCCTTATTTCCCTTGGCAAATGCAATTGAACAGAAAGCAATACTTGTTCAGCAGTTGTGTGTTTGGGCTAAGGTACGTTACAAGAACCTTTCTTTTGTGAAGAGTCAGTGGAAGGAAGGGACTGTTTTAAACTTGAGGAAATGGATGGGAGATGTCATAGATGTAAGGTGCACAGAAAATCCTGCTGTGGCTTTCTCTATGGCCTCCTGTCTGTTCCCCTGTCTGGGGTAGACTTGCATTGCTAGCCCTGCCTGAGATGGTAAGTGTAAAACCTTTCACTTCAGTAGCAAAATCTCTTTATCAAATTAAAAAAAAAAAATCCTTGTACTCTATGACTAATGCAAGCGACCACACTACACACACTTTCCATAAAGTGGAACGTGGACTTTGAGACATCCTCCATTAAGTGACACCTAATCTTATGAAATTCAAGTATGTGTTTACATACCCCAAGGATGTATTGGCAAGAATGAGGCTCTAACATATATATGGTTACAGCATGAGGTGAATCAGACTCTTTACATCTGAAAGAGAAATTTTGCAATGTTTAGCATGTAGTAAGCACAAAAATGAAATATATATTTCCTTACTATCTATATAATTTTTACTAAGCCCAGCTAATGGACATAGCTTTCTGAGCTTTATGAAAGACAGAGAGAGGCTTTCCCCTCTGGCATAGGAAGCAGAAACACGATACATCAGTTTACTAAAAAAAAGTTAACTTACTTCAATTTCACAGTCACCTGCCTTGGCTTCTCGGTTAAGTCGCAAACATCTCCATTTCCATAGAAATGAGACACCATCCTGCCCAGAAGTTTGGAATGAAGAAGTTTGGAAATAGTGAACAGAATTCTTAAGCATAGAGCTAACTTATGTAATAGCATATCTTGTCATTCCTCAAATATTTAACTCCAATATACAAAACAAACAAGGAAAACTGCTGTATATCAGTTATTACAGAAACAAGTAATTGTTTAGTAAAGTCTTTTCCTCTGCATCATACCCAAAATCTTGCATGTTGACTAGGGGAAAAATCTATACAACCTCCTCAAAACAGTTTATTATGTAGCTGAATATTCATGCATAGCAGAACTGGGCCCTGGCACTTGTTTTTCTCTATCACAAGTATGAGACTAACTCAGGAACTCATAACCAGAGATAACCATACCTAACTGTCTGTGTGCCATCTTCTTTAAGATAGTAGGTTCTGGCAGCATTCTTTTTGGACCATTCAATGTGTTCCTCCTTGTTCCAGGTACCCACAACCACAGAAGTCTTGCCACTTTCCTTGTCCTAAAAGAAGAAAGGCTGAGCTGATAATTGTGTTTTAATGACGGAATAACATTTCCTCAAAAACCCACACAAGTTCAGCTTTGATTATTCTTGTGCTCTATCTGACATGGTACCTACATTCCCCTGTGTAAACTCTTGAGCAGCACACTGAGGATTTATTTTCTGAAAGGCATCTTCTTAAGCCCAAGATGTAGATTAGCCAAGAATATGCTGCTTTTCAAGCCAAAAACAGATTCTTTAACCTCCCCACCTGCCAGCCACAGTCAGCGTTTGGCAGAACATAAAACTATTTAAACATACCTCATGATACTGATGAACATATTTGCCATAGCAGAATTCATACTTCCACCAACCAACGCCCTAGGGACAGGTAGAATCTTAGCATTAAAATGAAACAAAATCCCCAAAACAACCACTCCCATTTCCCTCCTGACCCTAAATAACTGATTATTTTAGCTGTAAAACTCGAACTTTTATTCAGATACGCTGATTTGTGATTTGCTTTGAGAGGGAATCTCTTATTAGACTAATTGGCATAGGCAAGGGATGGAATAGATGACTTTAAGCGAAGAGGACCTTGTTGTTATGTCAACTCGTAGAAGAGCCATATAAGGACTAAGTTCTTTAAACTACTTGTATCTCCTCTATTCATCTTTTTAAGAAATATTTTACTCTTTTAAAGACAGCGAAAAGTGAAAACTTCAGATGCCTCTTCGCTGCTGGCTCATCTTTCAGTAAGCTGTATCTTTTTTATTTTCCTTTCTCACTACCAAAACTAACACTGAACAATTCTCATGATCTACTTTCATTTTTCACTGTCCAACTAAGTTTATTTTCAACAGAAAAAATAAAGATACCTTTCTAGCATAGACCTAGGTATATAAGCCTTCCCTCTATTAACAAAAGCCAATTATTATGTGCATAAGAATGCTGTTAAAATGTTAACTTGACATGGCTCGTGTAATAAATGTACCAGTGTTTTATTCATATAATAGAAGTGTACTATTGCTTCAACTTTGCATTTTGCCTAGCACAGACAAAGAAAAGTCATTTAATGAGGACCTATTTAAATATTTGAAAGTCAGGGGAAATATCATTCAGGAACATTAAGCTCCAACTCCCTACCCTCCAGACCCGAGTTAAGATTATAGATTTATGCCCAGACTAATATGCCTATGGAAGCATATAAAGAGTATCCAAGGCAAAGACTGGGCAAAAGTAGGTCTTGAATACAGATCAAAAGAATATTTTCAGTTAAGGTTGAGCTCGTTACTAATAATTCTTTTTTTTTTTTTTTTTTTTTTTTAAACCAGAAAATACCTCTTTTGTTATGAGGAAACAAAGTAGTCCCCCTTTCGGCTGAAATACTAACATCAACTGTCAGCATTCATGGAAAAAATGAAAAACCCACCACCATATTGTACATGCAATTAAGGAGCTGCTATTTGATTGTATGCGGTCTTAATTTCTTACCCCATGGAAACAGTAAGAACCACTAAGAAACTCCTTTATAAGTTGGTCATCAGTCAATTTGGAGATGTGGGTTGTTCCCACAGTTAATAGTTGATGGCTGCCGACAGCAACAGGCTTATGAATGGAAGAAAATTTCTCTTCTTTTGTTGAATGCATTTCTTCCTGAAATTAAAGTATACAAAAATATATTAATTATATTTCATATGCCCCTTTCAAAATCTTATAAACTATAGGAAGTTACTTAATACTAAATGAGGCAGGCTGTGCAAAGAAGTATGAAAGCATGCAGTCACCACTTTCACTGTGCCTTAGACACAGCTAAACAAAAGACTGAGTCAGAAACTTAGCAACTTTCCAAACTGTAGGCTAAGAAGGCTACAGAAGTTTTCTACTGGTAGCCCAAATGTAACTGATATGTTTTCTTTCCAAACACAGTAAGTTACATGCAATTTCAACAAACTTAAAGACCATCTGAAAGACTGACGTGGTCTTACAAAGTTGAGTAAACGAACTTATTCCACTGAACTGCAAATTATATGCACTGTAACACGGAAAACAAGTACTTTTCTATTTCAAATTAAAGAAATTCTACCTCCTTAACCCTTCTGAAAGGCATCTTCATCATTTCTTGCTGTTTTTCCAGCTGTTCCAGATTATGAGGTTTAAGTGGGGATCCTGGCAGGGACTGGCAAAAAATGTCATTCACAGGGGAAGCCCTGAACCTGTGCAAACAAGTTATGGATATATCACTTATCATGCTTTAAAGACAAGACATACTTTTTGATTGCTAAAAATTTTTGACTGAGTTTAGCTTGAGCGATCTTACTTGCAAGAGCACCATCTCATTCAAAGCTACAATGTCCGTGCAGCTGATGTAAATAAGCATAGCCCAGTGCAGACTCACTACCACCACTGCCAGACAACTGGCAGCACAATCTAATCACTCTTCTTCAAAAGGAAAAAAAAACAAAATAAAAAACAAACAGTTATTAAAAAGGAAACTGCATTGTACATGTACCGTGAATGTAATGTCAAGACTCCAAAAAGGCCTCTCAGAAGTTAGAAAACCTCAATGATTAAAATTGATAGATGCAGTTCCTGTATAATTAAAATATACATTCCTGTACTGTGATGTGTATGGCATTTCCCACTGCACATATATCATTATTCCTCTATCCCTCTCTTC